CATGGTAGGTGACACAGAGGCAGGGTGACACAGAGGCACGGAAGGTAGACACAGAGGCATGGTAGGTGACAGAGGTATGGTAGGTGAGGCATGAGGTGGTAGGTGACACAGAGGTATGGTAGGTGCCACAGGTAGGTATTACAGAGGCATGGTGACACAGAGGTATGGTAGGTGACAGAGGCATGGTAGGCGATGCAGGTGGCCACATATGCCAAGATTTTTCCAGATAATTTTATATCACGGCATTTCCCAAGTTATACTAATACATTCCGAGACCATATCCATGCAGAGTTATATGAAATTCCAAGTTATCAAGGGTTTACTGTATGTGGGAATAACTTTCCTTCCCCCTACTGCATACAAAATCATAAAACCTTTGATTATTATATAAACCTCAATGCCTATGTGGGTGTCTGACGGATCTGTAGTGGATGCTTAGTAAGTCACATCCATCACTGGTCTCATTGTATTTGTGCATCATCATCAGTTTTATTTATTGATTACCTAACCTTTTTTCTTAAACACTTCATTATTTCTACACGCTCAGCTAATTGTTTCTTATTTACATTATAATTCATAATCAGTAAAATGCTTACACAATGTATCATCATCCACCTGTAACATCTTGAGAGTAACTGAGTCACAACACATGGTACAACCCCAGTATTCACATGATAGCAGATGATGCACAGCTCATGGTGACAGTTATTGATGGGGGAAATTACTTTTATCAGAGTATCGGTTTTCTATTTATATTTATTTAGTAACCCTTTAAAAACTTATTTAACGAAAGAAACTATTAAAACCCATCATATCCCAACTAGATATCCACATTATCCCACACACACCACACACCATCTTCACTACATACAGTATCCACATCATGTCCACTACACATCCACACCCACATCATATCCACTTCTCTTCACATTACACATCCTAGGAGATTCGGGACCTTTCAAGAATCTTAGGGAAGCTTCCATAATTTTTACGGAGACTTATACTTTTCCGACCTAGAGAGAGGATAAACTTATAGCAGAGGTGTGCGCAGATGCACCCACTGACTTGAATATACACTCACCTCCCAAATACCTCTATTTTCTCTTATTTTATTGTCTTAATCCAATAACTGGAACATACAGCCGAGTTGTAGATAATTCAGAATCGAATGTAAAAAATTGGCATGCTGCCACGTGAAAAACAGTGAACCACAAATAACAACAGGCCTCCTCTGCCTGCCCATACACATGAGACATGATCAGTGCATGTGTAGTAGTAATGGAGGACGGTAGTTTGTCATCATCTCCTGATTACCGGGCCACCCCTGATCATCGCGGTCATGGTAGGAGCACCAGAGGTAGAAAAAAGAGAGTGTTAGTGAAGCGAAAACTTACCAAATACTTTGAAAACAGTGATAGTGATCTAGATAAACCCTAATCATCCACTTCATTTGGTGTGCGGAGGAGGAAGTAAGGCACTCCACCACCACCACCATCGTCCCCCACACGTAGTACCTCACCTCCTCCCACACACTCTGTTGCCGAGTCAAAAATAACGACAAGAATATTCTGCAGTGATGTATTTGCTGGTGTGCTATTTAGAATAAGTTATAGGAAGTAGGAAATATATGCAGAAATGACTGTCAAGTGTTTATTACTATACTCAACCTCTCCTGGACCCTTCCAACTCGGCACCGATGACACTCCTCCACCCTGCCAGTACAGCCACACGCAGGCAAATAAAACATGTTATTTCTCACTGCTTCATGCTCTGCTTGTATATTTTGTAGTAGTTCATAACACAAAAATTTTTATTCTGGAAAGTTGATTTTTGTCATTTATTGCACCCCCACATGTATGGCGGATTGCATAATTGCACAGTGATTGGATCAAGTGATATTTTTTTTATTTCTAAATCACATAAGAGTGATGAAATTACTTTTCCACAGTTGTTTTATATGTAACAATGGCATGGAAACATGCAAAGCCATTTCACAGGATACAGCTGACTGGTGACGTGTTATATTTTGAGTTGCGCACTTTGTTCTGATCGACCCGAATTATAGAAAACAACAATAGCGGCTAATAACTTAACGGATTCCCTTTATTTTTATTTAGTTTTTAATGTTTTTGAACTTAGGTCAGACTGGGCCTCGTATCTCAGATATTATAGAGATTAACATAAACTATTTACCTTAACTCATACAAAATAAACTCATACAGATACTACATACAGTGGTCCTCGTTAACGAACACAATTAATTCCATAGTGTCATTAGCGGAAAATTTTGTTAACCGAATCCATTATTTCAATGGGATATTGGGTAATTGGTTCCAGCTCACAGAAAAGTACATACAAAGTATAAACAAAATGCAGATGATGATGATGATGGGAATTAGAAGTGGGGTGGGAGGAGAAAGGAGAAGAGAAGGAAGTGGGGATGGAGGAGAAATCACCTTTCTTTGGACCCATGCTTGTGCAGTAATATCACCAATAAAATTTTAAGTTCACTAGCTGCAATTAAAGATTATTTTATTTAAATCAACAGTAATGCACTATATATTATCAATATGTTAACTAAATTTCAGAATGACCATAATTTTAATGTAAAACTTAAAACACTTCTGCTCAAGAGAGCAACAAACACGATGTTTACTCCATTGTAAACAAAGTTAAACTGGACGCTTACGGGTGAGTCGATCGACTGATGGGCCACAAAAACTAGTTCCTGTACTGTCTATATTATCAATATGTTAACTAAATTTTAAAATGAATAATAATTTTAATCTAAAAATGCAAAAATATTCAAGAACACAACCTTCTTGGATATTTACACCACTGGAGATCTAATGTAAACATAGAACAGATTACTGTATTATGACATGCCGATCAGCTGATGCTCCAACAAAACGTGTTTTGTCAAGTGGGTTTTTGTTAATCGGTTTTGTTCGTTAACCGAATTGAAGATCCTATGGGAGATAATTGATAATCGAATTTCGTTAGTTTAGCTGCTGCTAACCGACCACCAATGTAAGTTTTCTCTTGTGTTTCTGACATATACTCTTATATAACAAAAAATCAAATATTGTGAAATTTATCTGGACTAAAAATGCCAAACTTTTTTCATATACCCTGTATATAGTACTAAGCACGTATTGAACAAATTTTTGGATTGGATTTAAAACAAAAACCTCCCTATACATGAATTGGCTGTTCACCATTTATTTAGATAGAGGTAATAATGTACTCTATAAAAATGCATACATAGTGTTTAGTACATGTAACTACTGGTTGATGAGTGTCCTCGAACTTGCTTTGCTGTTGAACTGTCTTCTGCTGCAAGTTGGCTCTTTCGCTTATTCATACCTTTCCGCTCTAGTTGCTTCTCAATAATTCTGGCATTGTTTGCATAAGAATCCGCAACTTCTAAAAATAAAAATAAAATAAATAAATAAATTGCCAGAGAAAACGAAAAACATAAATGTATATCCAAGAGGATGAAGCAAATACTGTCCAGGCAACCTCCGAGATATGATGCGATTACGTTCCTGAAAAAAACATAGCTTTGTAAAATATCATAAAAGGAGCATTATAACATGGGGTCCAATGGATATGTTTCAGCCAGTCTCCAAACACACGTGTCACCGACATACCTGCACCACTAATAACCTTCTAAAACTAGTAAACACTCACCACCTTATATTTGACAAGTCTGGTCATCATCACATGTCTCCTTCAAAGCTAAGAAGGACTCTTGTAGGTGAAGTGTAGACGTCACTCTGACTTACACACAACTTTTGGAGTCTCATGCTGCTTAACAATGTCAAGCTTTGCCTCAGAGACACGGTTGTCTTGGATGCCCTGACCTTCCCAGACATGTTCAAAGTTACACTGCTCACTTCACAGTCACAAAAACAAAGCAAAAGCATTTGTCGCATAAACAGAGCAAACCATAACAAAAACAATGACAACAGCTGTCACTGCTCACAATTTCAAAACAAAGTCGACGCAGCTACAATCACAAAAACACGAAAATTTCACTTCACAGTCACCATAACACAGTTCAATCTAAATATTAGTGATGTCTTGTTGCTATACCGTATTTTACGGCATATGACGCACTTTTTGTCTGAAAAATGGCTAAAAAATCAGCCTGCATCCTGTATGTGAAGTTGCAGTCTCCTGCAAGCTAATGAATCCCCCATTGCCATCTTCAGTAGACTAAATTCTACCTAACTCAACTCCAGAATTAAAAATATGTTATTGCTTACTTAAACTTTATTATTAGTTTTAATAAATTAAAAAATATTAATTATTGTAAAAATAAAAGCTTGATCTATAACTACTCTTGTTCTGTACTGATGATGATAACCTGAGGCGATTAACGTTCATACAGCAGACGCCCAACTCTTCAGAGGTAGCTAAGCAGTACCATTTCTGAACTCTTACAAGCATTACAATCTATTAATGCCATACCTGCAACATTTATTTTTCAATCTACAAATACCTGATAAAAACTGAAGATTTACAGATAACTTTACTTTTACATTTACATCTGTTAACATCACTGGCAGCATTGTAACCAGGTTAGACCCATTTCTGCAACCATCAGGCTACTGGGCTAAGCTGTTGGTGATGGGAACGTTACTATGGAATCGGCGGAGGTAGTGTCACCGTATTTTTTGTTGTAACTAATTTATATTATTTATTTCTCACATTTACTAAGACTGTATATAGTTTTAAGAAAACTATGGCTACAGGAGGAAGATACACACAAAAGTTTTTTCCTAAATGTTCTCTGCTAAAATAGGGTGTGTGTCCTATATGGCCATGCGCCATATATGCAGTAAAATATGTAAGTGAGAAAAAAAAAACAAACCATTTATAAGTACAATGTACGATGCTGGCCATGTGATGGCAGATTTTATGATCGACAACGAGCCAGACACAGGGCTGTGGTGCGCAGGTTGGCCGTGTGGTGGCACGTGAGTAGGCTGACAGGTGAAGGTAGTGATGTGTGGTGCACAGGGTTAAATATTGTTTCCTTATAAAATGTTACCGACTTAACGTGAAAAAATATAATTACTGGAATCCTTGCAGGACAGCGATTAATTCGAGTATAAACAACCCATAGTTTGCACTAGAGAAAACAAAAATCCGTCCCATGGCTATCAATGGATATCATTAAAGCGAAATGTTTTGATCATATACAGGGAGATGGTGTTAATATATAATCATCGTTAATGTAAAATATCGCATCTTGGGGTTTACCTGTACCTGAAGTGAATGTTTAATATGTGTAATAATCAAATGCGAGGGTACTTTGTATTCACTATTCCCTGTTCATCTTTACAATTGCAGACATATTGATGGCTGATGATTGAAATGTCTGTACCACTTTGAAATGAACATAAAAAAGAAGAATTTTCATATACTGTATAAAGTAAACTGGCACAGACATTAATGAATATACAATATTACAGCTTTAAATATAACAAACTATCCAAGCTGATTTTAGTTTTATGCCCTACCCTTTAATAAGGTCAACAGCCCCTCAAAAATGTTCAAGAAAGCAAACAAATACAATCATAAACATAACACCTCATGGTTATTTAATAGATACATATGCATGTACTGTCTGTACAGTACAAAATCTGAATCTACTGTACACTCTTGAAAGGAAGAAACAAAGACTGTGAAAGTGAATTACTGTACAGTATTTATGAAGGCTTCCAAATATCAATGTGTACTTGCACTTTACAGTAATGTATTGTATTGTATTGCATCAACATGGAACTCACCGCCTCAATTTCATCTTCTTCTTCGTCAATTGTCGATACAGTAACTGATGAAAATTTGCCCATATTCTTTGTATGGCGTGTAATAAGTATGCGATCCTTGGGCTTATCTGCAACTTGCTGTGCGACTGATTTTCCACCACTTTGTACCACACTACCCTATAAAAACATTGAGAGAATTTGAGACACTAGATAAATAGACAGACAGACAAACAGCTAAATATTTATACAGGTACAATAAAATTGTCATACTAGTTCACATAAAGTGCAGGGGTATAATCAGTTGTAAACAGTAAGTCGATTCAACCAAAGGTCACCCAAGAAAGTTGTTTATACTTTACTCCCATTAACCCCTAAAGGACTTTGACAATTATTATCACCCAATAAGATACATCCTGTGGGCCGAGACGAGTATGATTGTCCCTCCATAAATTACCATAAATTTGTTCTGGCATGTTTGAGAATCATCTAGCAGAGAGAATGTGTATGTTGCAACTGTTAAAAACAACCATAAGAGCTGTAGAAAAACTATTTCAATGTTCATTATAATAATGGTATAGAGTACCTTGTACTGTATAAAATAAAGAAAATACAATACAAAACTATAAAATAAAAAAAAAAATAAAAAAGTATGGGGATGTATTCTGATTACTGATAGGAAAGCAGTGGAAGACATGACAACACCATAATGGGCTCGGAGAACACTGCCTCAGCTGGAGAACATTCTCATGCCATTATGATGTCACAGAACTTTTCATCATGCCGCAGGACATTTAAATAACATAATAACAAGAGCATGCAAATTTTTTTTGTGATTTCTTAATTATTTAGGATTGTTAGGAGTTCTTTAGTTGGTTTTTGAAAATTGATTTTGGTAGACCAGGATGGACTTATGAGGGGAGGACCGCTACAAGTTAAGGTCCTTATATGAGGTTGGTGTAACTAATCAAATTACAGGTAGCCTTCGTTTAATGGGGCGAGAATAATAGCAAAACATGGAAAGCAAACAACAGGATCAAATGGCAGAGCGGTAAACACTGAGTACAGGTATCCCGGTGATATGAACATTCTAGATACGAAAATTCACACATACTAATTTCATACGCTCCCTTCCCTTAAACCATCTCTTAGAAAATATCTATTGTCTAAGTATTAATATTTCTTGTTATACCTACTTCATATACCTACTTTTATTGTACCATCAAAACCGTTTTATCAGAAATTATCATGTAGATAGATAAGAAATTAACATTGCAAAAATATATTTCCAACTAGACATAATCCTGACAGCTCTGTCCTCTTGTTCAACCTTAATACAACCCATGTTGTACTGCTTCCCTTATTATAATTATGTTTTTAAATTCCACTGTAACTTATGTATATACTTAGACAGAAATATAAATGTAAAAACAATAAAAAATAAAATAAATAAATAAATAAATAAAATAAATATATATCAAAGTGATAACCGTGGTAACATTTTGATATGTTCTTATTACCACCATGTTATGTGTACTATTCCAGATGATACTAAATGTTACATAATGCTTCCCTGAGATAAATGTACAGTATATATCAGATATAAAGGCATTCAGTGTCTGATTGTGATAACAGCCCTCTGTGAAAGCGACGATTTGTAAAGGGCGGCATATTTGTTTGTTATTGTTCGGTGGTTGGTCGATGCTCTTCCAACATTCACTCAAAATCTAATTATAAATTTATTTGAGCCCAAAACAATGAGTGCTGAACATGCATTATGCACCACTAGTGGTTGTGGTCACAGAAAGAAGAGGAAAAGTGTTACATTAGAAGTTAAATTAGATGTGGTAAAGAGATTTGAAGAAGGACATAACAAAAGCTGTTGGTTTGCAGCCTACAACTAAACGAACAATTTGTGAAATGCAGAAAATATAAAATCTTGTGCAAAAAGTGTTACTCCAATATCTGCTTGTAGCAGAAGTGGCATTATGGAGAATATGGAAAAAATGCTGAACATGTGGATCGAGGATCAACATCAACAAAACTTTCCATATTCATTGTTTTCCATACAGGCGAAAGCTCTAAGTTTATTTTAAACTTTAAAACAAGAAGAGGGTGATAGTGCTGAAAGTGAAACATTTGTGGCAAGTTGTGAAAAAATTTGGACCAGAAATGTACCCAAGGAACATAACCCCTATTTATATTATTGCGTTTATGGTAAATTGTTTTCACTTAACGTCGTTTCACTTAAAGTCATGGTTTGCAGGAACCTGACAAAGTCATCAGTGGGTAAATTGGAGTAGTTTTTGCTCTCCATACCATTTTGGGGGGAAACAATCCCTTAAACAGTATGGCTCCTAAACGTACATTATCTCCAAGTGGTAGAGTAAAGAAAAGCCGTAAAGTGATGACATCAGAATGATCAAAGTAAAATTTTTGAAAAGCGGCATGGGTGCAGCAGTGGTAGCCTGCTCGCCTCATATGATGTTAAATTGTAATGAAATTATAAAAGTTGTGGAAATTTTTGGAAAATATATAAAATGATAAAATAAGAACAATAGGGAACATATGTGGGAAGTAAATGTGTTATGAGGCGGTGGGTTACTGGGCTTACATGTGCGACATGACGTGGCGGCATACACATCCACCACGGTGGCCGACACACATCTGTGAGTCAGCTGAGCTGGCAAATGCCTGAACTGTGTCATGAACTGGATGCGTGGGAGGTATGCGTGTGGAAGAACTTATTCTTTGTGCATAAAAGACGATATACTGTACCATACCAGTAAATGTGAGGAATAAATAAAAGAAAAAATACAGTACTACGTTGCCATTTAGCAAGAGACGGCGAGAGAACAGAGCAGGAAACATCAGTTGTAGCTCTCTCCCTCCCATCCTCAGTGCTTGCTTCTACACACAATAATAAAATATCATAAAGTGATTTAATTCATACCTTAACAACAAAGACAACATTTGTTGTGGGGTTGTGCTGATAAAACAAAAGAAGACCACACTTTTTACATTTCTTTCTGTACTGCTTCTCAACACCTTCTGATCTTCGGATAAATACAGTTTCATCAGGGTCACAAACAAGGCGGTGGGCATGTCGAGAGCCATCGATGACTCTTGCTCCATCACGCTTGAAGGGGTAATCTCTCCATGCTACAATCTGTAGTAGAATAACCATTTTCAATAAAAATATTGTTTTTAGCTTGTATTCTCAAGGACGGCAGTTTAATCAACTGAATTGCCAAGTATGCTTTAAAATTATTATTGATATAAACTCCTGAAACAGTATTAAAATTTTAATAAAAATCTTTATCTTCCTTGTAGTGAATAACATACATACAGTATACAGTAATATTTGTTTTTATAAAACATCATATTCTATGTTTATGTGAGCAAAATGGCAGATCATGTAGATGTGAACAAAATCCTTGGCTGGGTTATCTTACAGGACACTCAACAAAAAACCCATAGGCTGTAAATTTTCAGATAAGCTATTGTACAATGCATGTGCATCTCAGAGGAACCTATATAAATCCAAGTAATGTAGAAGAGAGAATTAGATCATGTTTCACATGTTTCATGTTGCAGAGAATACAAAATTCACACCTAAAGTTCCACGTTTTATGGCATACAAGACTCGCCAGCCCCTGCTTCAGCAAGGAACATTTATGAAAAACTTAAGTGTATTTAAGCGTTTAATGTTTACTCCTACTAATATAGAACATGATACAATAAGTCTGTAAAAATTAAGTACATTTTCAATGACAATTCTGGTAGACAAACCTAATAGCACAGTGTTCTTAAAATGAGGGTAAAATTCAGTAAACTCTGCGTGTTAGCACCGTCTTTCTTGTTATGTTATTACCAGGTTGTTGTTATCATCTTCATTCATTGTACTAAGTTGTCCATACTATGGTAAGCACTGCAAAAAACACAAAATGATAACTGAATACTATTCTGTACTAGTCTTTGTTTCATGCCAATAGATGGCGTTACAGGCAATGACTTGTTATACAATGGAGTTGAGGACTTCAAAAAGCCATCTTCAAGTGATCGATCATATATCGATATTAGTGACTTCTGGGGTAAAATACGGTAGGTTCCTGCAGCCCCTGAGGAGCCCAAACAAGTTTTATATCCTGCTACTATAATGATTAAATAATGTAAAAAAAAAAAAAAAAATAATAATTATAAATACAGCTGCTCCTCGACTGACGACTGGGTTAGGGAAACAAATCCAGGTAAATTAAGTCGAACTGGTCGTAAGTCGAAAATGTGAAGATAATACTGTACATAGAAAATCTAAAATGGGTGTCTCTTTTTTTTACAGCACCACAAAACTCTCACTTTTAAGCATGCCAGCCACTTTAAAGGGAATTACAAACGAAAAATTTTTCAATACACAGGCGTAATCACTTACGTCGGGACTCGAAAATACGTAATTAGAAAATTTTTTGGTACAACTGGGGCGGTCGTATGTCCGGGTGGTAGTAAGTCGAGTGAGTCTTAAGTCGAGGAGTAGCTGTAGATATAAATTCAAGAAATTTATACAAAACAATTTAATTTGACCTTACATGAATGTGTGTGTGTGTGTGTGTGGACTTGGCAGGTTGCCAAATTAGATGTCACCAAAGGTACATCACCTTGCCTCTCCTCCTACCAGGAGAAGCTGTTATTGTTATTATTCAACTCGTAATTTTGAGTAGATATACGTATTTCTATTCAATTTCTTTTACTCTGTTACATGCATGCACAATTGTTCATACAGAATGTGCAAATATAAAAAAAATACAGGTAAAAGAAATGATTATCATAAGTCAAAAATATAAAGATAAAAAACCAGTTCTTACATCTGCAGTAGTTTGTGTGTGATGATAAGAAGGAAAGAAGGGAGGAGAGGGAGTGATGGTAGTGGTGGTGATGATGGTGGGTGGTACTGAAACAGTCTATTTAGCCAGAGACTTACAGATACTGCAGAGTGGACAATAATAACAATATTGACATGGCTTAGTCAATTGAAGAGCCCAAGCTCTCTTAGTGGCAATAGTGAGTGGTGGTGGTGGTGAATGTTAGTGGTTATGATGAGTGTTGATGAATATGAGTGGTGATGATGAGTGTTGGTGAGTGGTGGTGGCAGTGGTGGGGAGTGTTGGTGGTGGTGGGGAGTGGTGGTGGGGAGTGTTGGTGGTGGCATGAGTGTGAGTTACGTCATTGTTATTTTTTTACTCGCATTTTCAAGTAATTTCTTTTTACGAGGAATAGCCAACCTGGGCACAGGTCACCAACCCACAATGGAGCCTGGGAGGGAGAAGGAATAAAAGAAATAAAAAATAGGTGAGAAAAATACTAAATTAATCTACACTATGAAGAAGCAGGAAAACCAGCTTTTTGAAGTGAGACAGATTGAAATATGGGAACAGAAGAAGGCAGAGCATTCCACAGTTTGGTTGTGTGAAGGATGTACTGTACTATAACGTTTTATTCTAGTGTGACCGACATCCACACAAAACAGTGGGCACTCTTGAACAAGACAGATGCTACGAACCCACGGCCTTGTCGGCGGTACACAGGATGCCAATACTACCGAACATTGCCCATTCAAGTACCTGTTAAAGAGAGAGAGTGAAGCAACATTGTGGCAAAGAGAAAGGGAAGAGAGATAATTATCAACTAAAGGAGGAGAGTTAATAAGATAAAATGCCTTTGATTCCACCCTCTCTAACAGATGGACAAAAGAAGAGCCACCCCAGATATGAGAGCAGTACTCCAAATTAGAACGAATGAATCCCTTATAAACTTGAAACAACTGCTAAGGGTCTGTGTTTGCATGCTACATTTAACAATTTCACTAACCAAGAATAACAGCCATCTGACCACAGAGGCAGTAGTAAACAATGAGGGGTTTATCTTCACTGTACTCCTGTTGGTCCTTGGCATCCGATACCACCACACTGCCAGACACTACCTTTGGCATTATTTCTCCTTGTTAGAAATATAGCACAGTACTGTATCTGGAAAAAGGTAAAAGTTCATCTGAAATAAGACGCACAACACTGTACGGTACAGTACATAATAACTAGAAAATTTCAGGGTATGCATAACTTAAAACAGTATTACTGTACCATATAGTACAGTATATATTAGTATCTGTGAAAAGAATAGTAACTTTATAAAAATACAGTAAAATATCTTCAAATTGGATTAATTGGCGAGTTGCCAGTCTGGTTAGGAGAGAATTTCTGTTCCTTAAGGATAATACTAATCAGCTCCTAAAGGTACAATTACAGTACTTTTATATTGTACAGATTAGTGTAATCAACCAATGCACAAAAAGCTTACAGTCAACATTCAGTGTTTCTATAAAATTAATTTTTATATTTCCACCGAAGTTATCAGTGACTTTTAAATATTTCAACTGACAATTTGCCAACAAGAATTCTGTAAGGTGTTCATGTGCACAGATAGAGATCTTTTGTAACAATTCATTACTGTATTGTACTGTATCTATTTTAGTTGTCAGGGTTATGTCATTGATTTCTCCATACATTGTGAGTAAGCCTTCATTCACTTGTATAAATGATGATGATAGATTATTATTACAGTATTGTTATTTACTGTCTGATGAACAGATCTGTAAAAAGTACCAGACTTTGTTACTCAAGTAAAATGTTGTTACATTGGCAAAATGTTACTCAAGTACAAGTAAAAGTATTCAAAGTTCAATGTACTCAAGTAGAAGTAAAAAAATATTTCATTCGTAACACAGTAGTACTCAAGTACTGAAAGTAAAAAGTAACAATAACATTATTAATTATCTCAAATATTAAAATAAATCCACAGTAAATTATAAAAAATCTTGCTAAATAAAGCCAAAGTAAAAGACATAGCATTATACATGTTTATTTCCAAATCTTTTCATTGAGATTAATCAATAACTTGACTCTCGAAATTATGGCCGACCTGACCTCCCACTCCGCGTGTTTCCTTCATAAATCGTACGCATGCGTTCCCATACACGTCACGCTGCCAATGAAAAGAGTTTTTTCTACCAATTACAATGATTTGTGGTTTAATTCACTGTATTTTTAGTCCAATCAGATTCGATTTTTATTTTGGGTCTCATATTTCCAATTCAAATTCATTTCCGACCATGGAAGTATGCGATGGGTGTCACTTCAATTATATGGAGTTGATTGCGAGTTTTTTTGGAAAAAACGAACAAGCTATATTAGTTTTTAGATCTTCAGTGTTCTCCCGACCTCAGTGCGTGTCTTAAGTGTAAAACGGCAGTATAAATATCGTCAAGACAAAGAAGAGACGTTGGTGTTGGTGCACCGTCAGTGATTACAAAGGAACAATTTTAGAAAAGTGCCATTTTCACCTGAAATAATCTCAGAATCGAACGATGAACCAGAACCAGGCCAATAAGGTAAGAAATAAGTGATTCCATCATATGGTGAGTTAGGTTAGGTTAGGTGAGGTTTATATGCCTGGTTTTTTTGTGTGTATTTTGTATTCGATTGGTCATAATTTTGGTAGGAAAACGTCACAAAACCCCCGATAACTAAAATACAGGCAATTTACGACGGAAATCAAGGTCAAAACCAATCAAAACACACAAAAATACACTAGAAACACATAGTTTTAACTTTCAGAGTTGTGAGCACTTATGCAAATTTACCGAAATGTCATTGAAAAAAATTGTCTTACAACTGCCCAGACTACTGATGTATTGACGAGAGAAATAATTTATTGTGATCCTCAGGTCATCGACATTCACCATAGCAAGCATAACTATAATTAGAATGAAAGCTCTCGTATGATCACTATACTGTAGTTACTTACCAATAATTTAGCCTCGGGTAAAGAACGTTTCCTCTCGTAGATTGTTTACACCGCTACAAGAGAGGCCGGGCCTAACTAGTTTCAAGAGGAGACAACAGGGCTATATCTTTTTCATGTTCCCTAATTTTAATATCACTAAGTGCAATCAAAGCGAAGGGCCCATGGCAAATACGAATATTTTTTCAACAGGAATTTCACTAAAACTAAGCTAATATGTGTACAAGAAAGGCGTACACTACTATCACTTTAACCTCTGCTGGACCTCTTCGCCACTTTTTTTTTTACTTTTATCCGCTTCACCACTAATCGGCTCGTTAGCCGCTTGGGCGATCTGTCACGTCTCTGTTACGCACTGTTGGTAAATACTAGGCATGCACCAGCTCCTGAATGTACCTGAACCAGCTCCAGTGTTGGTCAAGTCTGGACTTGAAAGAGCTCACACTCAGTGCCACAACACTTTCTGGTAGCTTGTTCCAAGAGTTCGCAACTCTCACTCCGAAAAAGTTTGCCCTCACAGTCTTCTGAACCTGCTGCTTCTTCAATCTTGAGCTGTGACCCCTTGTGGGGCGAGCGCCCAGGTCCAAGTAAGGACACTCTACTGACACTCGATTGAGTAGTGCCCCTTGAGATGCTTATACACCTCAGTTAGGTCGTCCCTTGCCCGTCTGTAGTATAAGTGGGTTAAGTTCAGGCGCTCCAATCTCTTAGGGTAGTTGAGGTGCCGAAGCGCAGGTACCAGTCTGGTGGCCCTCCTTCGAACCAACTGATAGTCCCTTGTATATCTCGGGGACTAGACAGGGTGACAGTACTCCAGATGGTGAGAACTTCAGCTCATTGTCAACATACACACCTAGGTCCTTCTCACATTCAGTCTCAAATAGTGCAGTTTCTTCATCCCGTTGGGACATATGATACGCCTCCTTACCGTTGGTACGCCCCAGGTGCATCCTCACATTGAATCTCAGCAGCCATTTCTTCATCATTCTTGGAGCTCACAGAGATCCTTCTGCAGCTCTTCACAGTCTGCTTAGTTCTTGATTTCCCGAAATAACTTGGCGTCTTCCGCAAACATTTGTATGGAGGAGTGTACAACGTCAGGCATGTCATTTATGAAACAAACAAACAACAGTGGGCCAAATACACTGCCCTGTGGTACCTACTTGTGACAGGTACAGATAATGATTTCGTGCCATTAATTATGGGGATTAGCCCACCCGGGCACAGGTCACTGACCCACATCGGGTCCTTGGGGGAAGTGCCAAATGTGATTATAATGATAATAAAAATAATAATAATAATAATAATAATAATAATAATAATAATAATAATAATAATGATAATAATAATAATAATAATAATAATAATAATAATAATAATAATAATAATAATAATAATAATAATAAAAATAATAATAATAATAATAGTAATAATAATAATAATAATAATAATAATAATAATAATAATAATAATAATAATAATAATAATAATAATAATAAAATAAAAATGAAAAAAAGATCAGAGTGAGAAACAATATATATGTGTATTTGTATTGTCAATGGTAAGAGAAACAATTGAGACCCTGCAATTGTTGTTAAACGAAGAGAAGAAGTCAGATCAGCAACCGGGACTTGGTCACAATTTTCGTGGCCATATGGCAAGGGTCTACCATTAGACAAACACATTATGCTTCAATATCTTCCCAGGCGGTAGTACTCCTGTTTGGTAGCTGCCTACTACCTACTGTGTCATGGGTTGCGTTAGTCACCCGCCAACTCCAAAGTTTGTTTTACCAGAGATAAGACCTTGGCGAGGCAGTAACTGGGACATGTATTTTCCATTAGTGTATGTTAGCCAGCCTTTAGGGGTGGGCAGTGAAACAGTGTTGTACTGTTCATCGCTTCACACCGGCTTACCCACGCAACCAACTCCAAAGTTTGTTTTACCAGAGATAAGACGCCCGGCGAGGCATAACTGGGACATGTATTTTTCAATTAGTGTATGTTAGCCAGCCTTTAGGGGGGTGGGCAGTGGAATAGTGTTGTACTGTTCATCGCTTCACACCCAAAAACCTCATTTTAAGTAGTATCCCCTGAGCCATGGGTTAGTTAAGACGTCGTCTCCATCCTCTCCCTCCTGAAAGGGGGCGGGACACCACACCACACAGAGTCCTCCACGCCACTCCGTCCTGTGAACCGTCGTCGACACGAGACTAAGCGTGTTAACCTAGGTTTGTTATCCCCGTGGAAATATCACGTGTGGATGCCTGGTTGCGACAAGAGCAATCCAGGCTGGCCTATCAAACCTACAGTAAATGGTTAATTAATTCACGCTTACAGAGTTCTCCTGCACGACACCCGTCTACTGTGACCGTGATCGACACGAGACTAAGTGTGTTAACCTAGGCTTGTTATCCCCGTGGAAATATCACGTGTGGAAGCCTGGTTGCGACAAAAGCAATCCAGGCTGGTCTATTGCACCTAAATGGTTAATTCAGTTCACGCTTACCAGTTCTCCTTGCCGCGACAACCGTCTACCGTGACTCAGTGACGCGAGACTATGTGTGGTAAACCAAGAGTACCTTTTGTTGTTATGGCCGTGGAAGGTCGACACGAGACTAAGCGTTATTCAAGTCACGCTTACAGAGTTCTCCTGCACGACACCATGTGTGGTAACCCAAGAGTACTTTTTGTTGCTGTGGCCCGTGGAAAGAAGTCCTTGTGCGGAAGCCTGGTTGCAACAAAAGCAATCCAGGCTGGCAGTAAATGTATCACTTGAAGAATTAAGGCTCTGTTAAGTTATACCCATAGTAGAGTAATCACATGTGTCCCCAAGTTAAAATCCTCTTTTAGAAGATTAATTTTATTACAGCGTGAACGTGAGTGAATCATATATCCATGCAAATTGTAAATCATTGTATGGAAGCTTGACAAATAAATGTAAGTGCAATTATCTGCCCGTATCTGTGATCCTATCTTATTATTACTAAAGGTAATGACTGATTGGTTATGACATAGTATAACCAATAACTTAGATGGATGTTGAAAATTAAATGAATTCATTAAATCATCATTTATCAAGTATAAATCATGGAATGTCGAGTGGTGGAGTGAACTTCTACGTAGATACGCCATAATCTCCTGTAAGTAATCAGTGTGAAGGTATCGGACTCTACGGTAAGAAATAAGAAATATGACATTATTATCCTTATATAATATAATCCACTCCTACTACCACCGAGCCCCCCCCCTAAAACCATGACATACTGTGTGACAATTTTATTGAATAAATATTATCATTATATCATATTTATTATTTACATAAATTACACTGGAATTAAGAAAAGCCTCTATGAGCAATACTGTAGTATTATCTCTCTTAAAGTCTCACATAACCCTAAAGATATCACCAGTGTGACAGTGAACATGCTGCTGAGAGCGTGGACTGGTCAAATATCAGTTAGACAATGTAAGAGCCACTAATGGTGGACACATGGAAGTCTACTAATATGTCCATTTAAACTGCATAAATTGGGGTACAAGTTGGTGCACACTACATGTTTGCAGTTTAATTATTCATAATTTACATTCAAAGGAGAAATAATTTAGGAATATAAGGTCCAATTAAAGGTCTGTTGTGTTGGCCATTTATTGACCTCAACGTTACGGACTTGTCCAAGTTATCACCTGGAGGCTTGACAACATGAATACTGTATACAATTTTTTTGTGGTTTAGTGAAGCAAGTTAGGTATGAGGGGTTACGGGGTGTAGGGGAGGTGGTCAGTGTGGTGTGGGGTTAGGGCAGAGGGGGTGGCCCTGCTGACGGCGAAGTGGTAGGAGGGGCCGACCGTCACGTTGCTACACCCAGACATGTTGATCACCTGGTCCACTCCACCATCCATGTAGTCCTCCGCCACCAGCCTCAGCTGAGAAGTCATCTGAAGTTAGAAAGTCTGTTTCTGAGTTAACGATGCAGAACTAAACAGGAAAACAGAGTTTGTATGAATGAACTATCTCGCAAGTTACTGGATTGCAAGATGGGTGAGATTAAGTTCTATTGTTAAACTGTTGTGATATGTAAGATGATGCATCTTGGTCGCACTAATATTGTACCAGGGAATCATATCACATCCCAAAGAGAAAAATACATTTCCCAAACTGGGTGGTTATGTCGTTAACAAATTGAAATTATCGGACTAATACGAAAATCCTATACATAATTGCCTAGTTTACACCACAAAGGCGATTTAATATAAGCACCTCGAAAGACATTTCTTAGTTAAATGTGCGCATCTGGAGTAAGCAGATGGCCGTCCCAGACAGCTTCAAGTTACAGACGCCATCAGCACAGAAAACTGTCAAGAGCTAACTTCTTTGGGGGTTAAAGTTGTGAACTCTTAGTGTAACTTGCCAAAGAATGTTGTGACACCACCACATGTTAAGTTCCTATCAGAGAATGTTGTGACACCACCACATGTTAAGTTCCTATCAGAGAATGTTGTGACACCACCACATGTTAAGTTCCTATCAGAGAATGTTGTGACACCACCACATGTTAAGTTCCTCTCAAAGAATGTTGTGACACCACCATATGTTAAGTTCCTATCAGAGAATGTTGTGACACCACCATATGTTAAGTTCCTATCAGAGAATGTTGTGACACCACCACATGTTAATTTCCTATGAGAGAATGCTGTGACACCACCACATGTTAAGTTCCTATCAGAGAATGTTGTGGCACTACCACATGTTAAGTTCCTATCAGAGAATGTTGTGACACCACCACATGTTAAGTTCCTATCAGAGAATGTTGTGACACCACCACATGTTAAGTTCCTATCAGAGAATGTTGTGACATCACCACATGTTAAGTTCCTATCAAAGAATGTTGTGACACCACCATATGTTAAGTTCTTATCAGAGAATGTTGTGACACCACCACATGTTAAGTTCCTATCAGAGAATGTTGTGGCACTACCACATGTTAAGTTCCTATCAGAGAATGTTGTGACACCACCACATGTTAAGTTCCTATCAGAGAATGTTGTGGCACTACCACATGTTAAGTTCCTACAAGTCCTGACTTGACCAACACTAGCACATGTTCAGGAACACTCAAGAGGCCATACATGCTCAGTACGTGCCAATAGCGTGAAACAACTGAACGATCGTCCATCCAACTAACAGGTGGCAAAGAAGATAAAGTAAGCAAAGTTAAGTGACACAACCTTGACACCACCTATTCATTGGCCACAGGATGAGTGACTTCATGTGATCTGTTTATGACGAAGGAAGTGACGTCACAGCCCAGAGGCCAACACCCTGGACGACCTCACCTGTTGTAGTTGCTCCGTGGGGTCGTAGTCGTCGCCAAACTCCTGCCGGAGACCTTCCACCACCTCCCGGATCTGCTGAAGGCGTTCTGTCCTCTGGCGAAGGATTCTGTTCCTGTGTCTCTCCTCGTCTCTCTGTCTCTCTCTTCTCACCTCCATTTGTTCTTCTAAACTGATGGCGTTGCTCACCTGGGAGGTCAAGGCAGGTGAGGTTAGGTTAGGTTTGGTTAGGTCAGACTAAGTTAGGATAGGTGAGGTTAGGGTAGGTCAGATTGGGCTAGGTTAGGTGAGGTTAGGGTATGTCAGCTTAGGTTAGGATAGGTAATTTCAGATTAGGTGAGGTTAGGACAGGTCAGCTTTGGTTAAGATCGGTCACGCTAGGTTAAGTTATGTTAAGTCAGGTTATCCAAGTAACTATTGAAGGGAACTAGAGAAACAACTCACCAGCTGTAGTGTCCTCGGGTCGTTACCGAGAGTCAAGCCTTCAATGTTGTTCAGACCAAAGATGACAGCTCGGGGTTCTCCTGGCACTTTGAGGGGAATGATTTTACTCCGCCACCTGTCCTGTAACACCTCGGTCATCAGCGCATCCTACAGGAGGGAGAGACAGTTGAGGCGAGAGATGGTTTGAGAGATAGATGGTTGGGATGAGAGAGGGTTGAGGTGAAAGAGAGAAGGGGGTGGGGGTGAGAGAGAGACGGTCTAGCTGATCCTTGATACTCAGTGTAACAGTAATAAGACTCACCTGAAAGATGAACTTGTGCACTCCGGGTCTATTGAGGTGTTTGCTGGCCAAGATGAAGACTTTGTTGCTGTTCTCTACCATCCTGGACGCCTCCGCCAGCGTGTTGTCCCCGAGCTCTACGTCTGCTAATGACCTCCCTGTATGGGGGGGAGAAGGGACGTCAGGGAGAACAAGATGAGGGGTAAACAGGAGAGATAAAGAGGAGATAAAATAAAAGTAATGAAGAGAAAGGAAAAAGATGAAGGATAAGAAATGAGGAGAAATGCATATAGGAAGAAAATAGAAGAGAGATGAGAAAAATAAGATGTAAATATTATGAGAAATGGAGGAGAAAGATGGGGAGTAAAGAGGATTAGGAGGAGAGGATGAAAGTTTGGCGTCGTTATTGTCTGTGTGTGTGTGTGTGTGTGTGTGTGTGTGTGTGTGTTAATGTTAGGTTAGTTTTGGTTTAGTTAAGATAGGCTAGTTTGGGTTGGGTTAGGTTACTTTAAGTCAGGTTGGCATTGATGGCTAAGGGGGGGTTAGGTTGAGTTAGGCTAGGTTAAATTAGGTTAGCTTGAGTAAGGTTAAGTTAGGTTAGGTTAAGTTGGGTTAGGCTAGGTTAAATTAGGTTAGGCTAGGTTAACACTGACCTGTAATTCCTAGGGTGTGCTCCACCAGGCGCCTGAAGCTGTCCACTATCTCCAGGTCGCCCGGGTGCTTTGTATGTATCACCCCGAAGTCCCACTGGGAGTGTCGGTACCTCCGCCTCTCAACCTCCTCCCACTGTTCCACCTGAAGGTCAGGATTACTCGGGTCAATAGGTCATGTCGGACTAAGTTAGGTTATGTCGGGTTAGTACTGTGGTAGATGACAAGTACTCACCTTGTTGTACAGTTCCACAACAAAGGACCGCCACAAATCAGCCGTGGGACCTTCTGGGAGCTGCAGTCCCCGCAAAACTCTATTCACTGCCTCCCATTGATGGTTGTTTGCCATGCTATTGATAGATATAAAAGATATTCAGTAAATCGTCATACATTAAACAATGTAGGTATACAATTCAGTAAATACTGTACATAGGCAATGCAGAAATAGTGTACATGTGTACACATACAGTGCAGGTATACAATTTACAATGTATACCTAGACAGTGAAGGTATATTAACAATGGTAAATTAAAGTAATTCGACCAAGGATAACCAACAAAGCCACCACCAGTTGCTGAGTTCCAGGAATGTGACCAGTGAGTCAGTCAGTCTCTTCCGTTCTCACGTCACATATAATACGGCAAACAATAACATCGGGAGCTTGGAGAATGGAGCAAACACATAGTTAATATTTCTCTAATTTTATACGTATTTTGGGATACTTGAAAAGATTTTTTTTTTTGAGAACTTGATTCAGAATATTTAGGTTTAGTGAGAGAAAGAGAGAGAGAAGGGAGAGAGAATTACACCATGTTATTCGTCACCTTCTGTAGCCTATCTGGTTACGTCAGTGTTCTTCCCTTCCGACCTTCACACAATATTTCTACCAAACAAAAAAACAAACACTATAAACATCTTGTAACCTCTACACACATACACTCTACAGTACTAAACATTTACTAACCTTGGAAAACCTGTTATGCGATCGACCTGCACCTATAGCTTATGTTAGGGGGCCCGGCCAACTTTAGTTAATTCTCATCGTTGGAGGAATTAGCTGGGATCTTGATGCACTTAAAACTCAACACTGATGGATTAAGTTAGAAAACGTGTCAGTTTACCTCGCGTGGCAGGTGTTTGACTGTGGCAGCAGGTGAGGAGTGTGAGAGGTCCTACTGACTACAGGTACAAACTAATAATACGTGCATGACCTTCATCCAACCCCTCCCTCTCCCCCTCCCTCTCCATCCCTCCCTCTCGTAAAATTTTCCTAGTGTGAGGTTCCTACTGTCATTTTAGTCCTACTGCTCAGATAAACAACAATATACTTCCATAAACTCGGTAACAATAACAGCCCAGGCTTGAAGGAGTATAAGGTTTAAGGATTTGATATTATTAAAAAGGTTTTCTGCCATTCTTCCATCAATGTCACCCCCTTCCCGTGTGCCAACTTGTCTTTAAAACACCCCCATTTTATATATTACTAAAGGTCACTTAATATATCTTGTACTATATCAAACTAATATATCGAGTAAGTACGTATAGGTCGGTGATATGTGTACAGTACAGTAGATCTATGAACAACTGGATTGAGATAGTAAAAAAAGGAGGAAATTCCGTTTAGGCAACTTGAAGGTTCTATAGCAGTGGTTCTCAACCTTGTTTGCCCCATGCACCCCTTTCACCATATGTCAGAATGTCATTCCCCCCTCCTTTCCAAGATTGTCTGCCTCAAAAAGTGCATTCCAAATAATATGCATATAATACTGAAAATCCTTTATTTTTTCCATATTAGTACATATACATTTACAATTTTACATGGATTATTTTTATAGTGGAGTTTTACAAATTAAATGCCAATTGAAAATGTTGATGGATTTATAAAACTTGAATAAAAGTAAAATAGTTTTTTTATATTTATAATGAATTACTTAACAGACCAAACTGAAGCATAATGCAATAAACAAAAAGTTCAATAGAATACCAGGATATTGTAAATTTGTAATTAATTTTATTCAGATGAAGATTACAGTCAATGAGAAACCTGTGATTGTTTTTTCTTCGCCAATTCTGGGATACGCGGAGGAGTGCTTGAAAGGGCACAACGCAGGTTATTTTCTACCTCTAATCTACTACGTTGCTTCGTTTTAATTTGCAACAGAGTTGAAAAGCCTGACTCACAAAGATATATCGACACAAACGGAAGCAATGCACGGATAGCTCTTTCTGCCACTTTTGGGCAGGAATCGCACATCAAGGGCCAAAATTCTGTGATTGATTTCTCATCGAACATATCTCTTGCTCCCGAATCAGTTTCCCCCCCCCCTGAAAACCTGAATTCCCCCCTGGTTGAGAACCCCTGGTCTATAGGATCTAGGTTGAAATCAAAGAAGTTATTGAACAAAAGGACATTTTTTACGGTATGGGCAACGTGAATAAGAACTAGTAGTTCAATTTTTTTCAGAGAAAGACTCCTTCGTTTATTGTAATAATGTGTTTGCTTTAATTAACTATTTCGGCATTACCAATACAGCTACTGAATGAAGGATTGTTCATTGATTTTTCAAAAACAAATCCCAAAGGAGTTTTACTTCATAATGGGAATGTATTTTTATCAATTCCTGTGGCTCTCTCTGTTCATCTTAAGGAAACTTAGGAAAATTTGCAGATATTTCTAGAGAAAGTTCATTATAAAGATCATGGTGGGTTCGTTTGTGGAGATTTCAAAGTCAATGCTTTGTTGCCTGGTCAACAGAGTGGATACACGACAATGCAATGTTTTTTTGTGTGTGAGTGGGACAGCAGAGCAAGACGTGAACATTGGGACAAAAAACACTGGCCACCTAGACAGGCTTTTGTGCCAAGCTCAAAAAATATTCTACATGAACCGTTGATTGACCCCAAGAAAGTGCTGTTACCTCCTCTGCATATTAAATTAGGTTTAATGAAACAATTTGTAAAAGCCCTAGATAAGGAAAGTGATTGCTTCAGGTACATCTGCAGGGAATTTCCATCAGTCACATATGAAAAACTCAAAGCTGGCATTTTCGTAGGTCCTCAAATCCGAAAGTTAATGTTGGACCACCAATTTGAAGAATCGATGAACCAGTGTGAGAAAGAAGCAAGAAATTGTTTCAAGAATGTTGTGTATAGTTTTTTAGGCAATAGAAAATATCTAAAATATCAACACATTGTTGAAGGTAAGTTGAATTACTTTAAAAACGTGGTTTGCAATATGAGTGTAAAGTGCATTTCTTACATTCCCATCTTGAATATTTTCCTTAACATTTTGTAGTTTAGGTGAAGAGCAAGGTGAAAGATTTCACCAGGACATTAAGGAAATAAATGAGGTATCAAGGAAGGTGGAATGTGAACATGATGGCAGACTACTGCTGGATGCTGAAGATAGGTTGTGCCAGTGAAAAGATTGCCAGAAAATCGAAAAAAACTTTCATCCATCCTAGAAGCCTAATACAGTATTATGTTCATACATATTCATATACTGCAAATAATTTATTTCTATATTTGCAAACAAATAGCCTTAATTGCAATAATCTTTAGGTTTAGTTAACTTTGAAGCCGACTGAATTGTCTTATTTGTATTATCGTGTCATATTTGTATGTTGTATTTGTATATGTATAATTTATAGCATCTTGTCGTATTGGTAATAAAGTATGACGTCCTAGAGCAAAAGAAACTTTATTTTTGAAATCCTTGAAAAAAAAAAAACGAATCAGAATCACGTCTCAGTTTTAAAACATTCAACTTTTCTTAAAATGCAAACCGGTGGAAAATCAATCATACACTTGGCCTATGCATCATAAATAAGCACTCCCAAACCTTTCTTCCAGCCTGGTATACTGTATATGGGGTTTAAGATGCTCAGAATAGGGAGATCTAAATGTTTATAACTTTCGGGAGCGCTATGTCCTAAAGTAAAATATATGTATACCTAAGGGTAACACTCACAACATCCTGACCTTAAGATAACACTCACTAAACTGTATTAATATAATATCACTCACACAACATCCTGACCTAAAGATAACACTCACTAAACTGTATTAAAATAATATGATTTAAGCAATACCAAACGTGTAAGCACGTACGTGTCATAGGAATGCATGTCCATCATCTAAGCAGAAACTGACTTCTTCAACTGAGGCTGACCGAGGAGCAACACTGCTGTCACCAATCTGACTCCTCGCCAATCTTGTATGGCGTCCCCTAAGGTTCCATTCTTGGTCCAGTACTGTTTTTGTTGTACATAAACGACATAGTCCACGCCAGCACACTCCTAAAATACAACTTATTTGCAGGCGATAGTAATCTCTATGCCAGCAACTCAGACCTCAATTCCTTGATGAGAACTATGAACACTGAATTGACTAAAGTCAGGACCTGGGTAATACGTAATAAACTGACCTTAAACCTTGAGAAAACCCACTACACGATCTTTCACAGGAGGAAAAACTTACCCCAGACTTGGACCCCCTGTACCTTTGTAATGTCCCCTTTGTTCAGCCCTGACTTCCATTTATACACCTCTATCATATCGCCCCTCACTCTACGTTATTATTATCCACTCTGTATCAGTGTTTTTCTGGCTAAATAAACTGTTTCAATTCAATTCAATTCAATACGTCTGGCACCTCACTTTTACCTAACACTTCACTTTTAACTGCTACACCGGGCGTGGTGTAGCTGCTGTCATGGTCACGTTGACTGCTGATCTATTTAACTAATGATTCTTATTAAACTCCACGCCCGCAAAACATGAGTGAGTTCGCGACCCCTAGAAGGAGCGTGTTTACCCTCGCGACCCCTCCCAGTAAGCCCCGCCTTTGTGAAGACAGTTATCAATACGTTGTTTATTCCACTTTCTCCTGGGAAGCTCAATCTTGAATTAGTCTGTGTAAATCAACCCAAGTAATTCGCCAGACCTTTGTCAACTGAGGGTCATCTTTGAATGAGTAACAGTTAGTTTGTTTGTGATTATTGTCATTGCGTGAGTAGCGATCACTGGCAACTCAGGGGTATATAAACTCAAGATGGCCAGGGAGAGCGTCCCCTGACGCTGATTCCCGTTTGTCTCCAGATCCCATTGTGATTCTTGAATCGCTCTACCATCCAACAACGGCCTCGGATGTATTAGATGTCCAGCCGGGATCATATATGAGAAGATGGCACCGATGCGGCCTGATTAATGTGCCCCACGGCTTCGTTGGGCCAGACCCCAGACCCGCCATGTGTCTGGCTACCCCACAATGACAAAGGTCGTGGGCCCTAGTGTTCTGCCCTGGGTTACTCCTTGGAAGTGAATGTCCAGAGAGTGTTGTAACATGTATGTTAGGGATAATTAGTTGGAAATAACTATCCCATTTCGGGTAGTGGACCCCTGCATATACTAGTATCCTTGTTTACGTATATGTTGAATAATCTACAATGAGTGCCATGTAATGTACCACCAGTAATGTTGTGAGTAAGAGTAAAGAAGAAGGTATTGAGTTTGCACTAAGCTCAGGAGGTGAGCCTGGTAATTATATGATTAATACAATATCTTTCCCCCATTGATTGCATATTAATAAACTTGTTTTTAGAGTAATTTAGGTGTATTCATTTAAGAACATAAGAACAGTTGGATATCAAGACTCCGGCAGCATACAGTATATAACTTGTCAGGGGAATCTGAGTCTTAAGGCGACTAAATATACGAATCATTGTAGCTGTGACCTCTGACCTCACTAGGGGAAAGGTGTTGTGACCTCACTAGGGGAAAGGTCACGGCAGGGTTAGCTCCAGAGGGATAATTATCAGATATGGCCAGTGATATGTGCGGTCTTGGGTATGAGAGTTTGTTGACCAAACTGGAGTGGTCCACTGAAGAATTGGCGAGGGCCAAGTTAGAAATTGAGAGGGCCACGTTGGAGAACCTGAAATTAAGGAAAGAGCTGGCGAAGTTAAAAGGAGAGGCTGGACGAGTAAAGCCAGTGTCTGACGAAAAATCAAACGAGTGGAAAGTCGTGAGTAGTGGGAGGACCAAGCTGGTGGTGAAGAAGCACACGAAGGATACGACAACAACGACAACAACAGCTAAGTGTACCAACCCGTTCAGTCCCTTGATAGACGAATTGGACGTTAGTACAGTCAGGGGCAGGGATGACAAGGAAGGTATAAAAACTTTAATTGTTGGTGACTCAC